TCACCATCTTCTCCTTCCAATTTTCCTTCTTTGGATAAAACTTTTGTTGTAGTCTGTGAAATACCTCTGGATAAAGCCACATATAACTGTCCATGACTGAAAACATGTCGTGGAAGATATATTCCAACATTTGGGATGGTTTGTCCTTGTGACTTATTTATTGTAATTGCAAAACTTAGTCGCACAGGAAACTGCTTTCTACTAAGAACAAAAGGCAACCCATCACTGGCCGATGTTTTTATTTTAATTCTGGGCAAGAAAGCTCATCTTTCTGCGTTGTTTCCCGTCAAGATTTCCACATCCAACATATTCATATACAACCCACGACATAATAATTGCGTCCCATTACACAACCCATATCTAGGATCTTGATTTCGCAACAACATCAATGGTGCACCCTTTTTTTATCTTTAGAATATGTGGGGGTAAACTATCTTGTGCAATTGAGTTTAAGAATTCTTGCTGGTATAAATTATTATTATCCCCTTCAACCTTGTCAAATGACAACAAATTATGTACTTCTCATGGAAACTGGTCAATAATTATATCATTCAATTTTTGGACATCATCGTTTGTTAGGGTCAAAATAGCTCTTTTTACCATATAAAGGGCATCCCAACCATTCAATTCTAAATCAGGAAAAATATGTTGTATAAGCACTTGTGTGGAATGTTCACCTTCCCATGAGACTGCAATCTGTGAAGGCAACCTCACCATGTCATCTAGTTTGGTAGGTTCAACACCATCACCAATGCACATAAGAAATTCTGCAAACTCTTGATCATGCAATGATCGCATATTTTGGCGCAATCGCAAAATTTTGGTATGAGCCCATAAATGAGACTGAACAATACACGCATAAATCATTTGTACCTTAGTACCTTTTCTTACAACAGGAAGAACTTGTCGGAAGTCTCCCCCTATGATCATAACTTTTCCTCCAAATGGAGCATTGTTGCTACAAATGTCTTGTAATGATCGATCTAAGGCTTCCAAACAATTTTTGTTTATCATCGGGGGCTTCATCCCAAATTATTGCAGCAGAAACTCTAATGAGATTTGCAAGATCGTTTTGCTTTTGAATACCACAAATAGAACTCAGTTGTATATCGATAGGTATCTGTTGCGGTGGAAATAGGATATCAAACTATTAATTAGTTTGAATCACAATTCTTGATTCACAACCGCTCTTTGATTTATCCGAAGGAAAAGGTCAAAAGAGGGAAAACCTATTTTTGCATCATAAACACAATGCGGGGAGAGACCTAGGTAAGGGGTTGGTTAAATTTAAGGAAGGTACTAGCACCCTAAACTTCTGTAGTACTCTACAAGAACCTTCTGTTTATTGTATGTTTTTTTTTATTTTATTATCTGCTTTATGCATATATACTGAGCTAAGGGATAGAGTGACCTAAATAGACCTAAGGGTTAGTCCTAAGTTTACTCGGCAATACATCGCATCTTGTGCCTATGTATCCTGGATAGGGAATGGAATCAGAGTAATCGTAGTTCCCCTCGAAAGGGAGGTTAGAAACTTCTTGACTGTGGTCAAGGTTTCAATGGGAAATAAGCGTATCTTAAGGACACGCTTACATGGAGTTTTGAAACTCCTATTTCTACGTTGAAATGTTGAATTGAAAATAGGGTTAACTAAATGTTCCACGGCGGGAAACCCTAAAAACAGAGTACGGTGACTCTTTGACCTAAAAGCTAGGGTAAAGGGTATTTTCGTCCACGGCGGGACGCCTAGGCTAATTAGGGTTTTGAAACGGTGAAAGGTTAGGACTATTGACTCGGAGATCAAACGGTTTAGACCTAATTCCTTCAGAGGGTGAAAATTAACGGTAAAATATACACGCAAACAAAATATTATATGGCAGAAATTAAAGTGTGGAAGAGTAAAGGAAGCGGCGCGACGATCACTCGCGTAAATTACAAATCCCAAAAACAAATGAATCGCGACCACGGTCTCGCGTAAATTACATTCATGGAAACAACATACAAATATGATAATGGAATATTTAAATAATGATAACGGAAGTTAAACTCAATCAGCTGGAAAAAAACAACACGGAGAATGTTAATAGGAATAGACAGAAATAAAGCGGATAATGAGACAGTGAAGAAAAAGATGCACATTTGGAAATTTTATTTATTGCTTTTAATAATTTTGAAAAAAAGATATTGATTTAAGATTAAAAAAAAAAAGAGGAATTAATACTAATTTAAAAAAGTTTTAACTTTAAATTTAAGAAAAAGGTTTTAGTTTTATTAAGAAAAGTTTTTTAGTTTTTATTTTAAAAAGAAGTTTTAATTTATATTTTTTTTAAAAAGAGTTAATTTATATTTTTTAAAAGAGAGTTAATTTATTACTGATCTAACATTGTCCATAACGAGATGACTATAAAGACAGTTGATGGGTACTCCACAAAGTATGTTGAAGGATATGAGTGACCTAGATGAAATTTATTCATCCTGCATAACAGGATAAATGTCTAAGGGCCCAATATTGAACTGGACAAGGACGACACGATATATGTCTTGTACTTAATATAGAAATAAGGGCAAAAGAGTAATTGTATACACAAGTACTATCACAAAAGATTTTGTTAGATCACGTGACATTTTTGTGACTCTGGTAGCAGTGATGTGTTGCTAGATACCGCTCACTATTTATTATATTAAATATATGATTTAATATATTTGTCAACGTCACGAGAATCTACAAAGTCACATACATAAGGACAAATTGATGAGAGAGAGAATAAATAAGGAACAATGTAAGACACGATGTACCTGAGAGAATTATGAAACACCGTAAGGTATGATGTACTTAAGTGAAATATGAAACATCATATAATATAATAATAATAATAATAATAATAATAATAATAATAATAATAATTATTATTATTATTATTATTATTATTATTATTATTATTATATAATAACTATTATTATTATTATAACTAGCGTTCAGACGGGCACGGGTCTGTTCGCTTTTTTTAATGCGCACAACATAGAAAAATAAACATGTGTATATATTGTATGAAGTTTTTATCATATTTAAGATTAATTAAATGCATTTGTTTTTAGATATCCTCAAACAATCTTAAAATCATGATGATAAAGGTACATATACTAAAAATATTTTAGTGAATTAACTATACATTAATGATACTATTATTTTAAACATACCGAATTAAATAAAATTTAGATTAAAAAATATGTTGTCTAAACATGCTAATAATATTATTACATTTTGAAAATGACAAACAAAGTTATTCTAAATTATATTAAATAATCGAAGAACACAAAGTACTATTTACACTGTGTAATCAATAACGTTCTTTAAGAGGAAGGCCGAGATTTTGTAAGACTCTCACATTAGAATTGCTTTAGAGAAAAATTTAGTGAAAGTAATAGTAATTAGTGTAATATATTATTTTTCTACTTTGTAAAGATTCGAATCAATTCTTCATACATCCCTTTATCGATGCGCTCTTGAGCTTTAAAAAACTATAAATACATCCTGAAATGTCATATCAACAAAGAAATACATTCAAAACATGTTATTTGTTTGATTATAATCTGGTGTACTGAGTCATAAATAAATGTATACATGAAGAATGGAGATATTTTGTTTTAGTTCAGATTTGGTAGAACAACAACCCTGACTTATTTTTGAATTACGTAATTTCTGGTAAAAAAGGAAAATAATGGGTTTAGGGAATATACATGGTTTTATTTACACAAACCAATAGTAAAAGTAAAACTCATGCATTCAAAAATATTTTATGGATAAATATTATTAAATGAATAAAACAAAAACATGTCCATTCTTTGAAATATTATTTCTTTTTTCACCATTTTCCAAAGTTGTGTTTTATCTGTTATCACTGTGGAGCCCCAACCGACAGAGTAAACTTTTAGATGCTTTGACCTGTTTTAATAAGGATGATAAAAGTGTTAGTCAAAGAGTGGTGAAAATTCAACAAACAGATTTTTTTATACATGTCGTGAAAAAGGTAAATGTACCTTATTGTCTAGTTTGCCGATAGATGAAATTGTTTGTTCATCCTTCCATGTGTTTCATTTATCTTTAAACTCCCCCATCTAAAATTTATTCTGTATAAGAATAGTGAGAATAAGTATGATCCAATTGATTGATTATAATTAAAAGCATAAGATAAATGATTAAGTATAACTTACTTTTATGTCGAAGCAATTTTTAACATTCTTCCATCTCAGCTCCTTACATAATTGGAAGACTTCATTGTGTTCTAGTTTGACTGTATATCAAAGCCACACAATTTTATACTTAGTTATAATTAGTTTTATCATATAAATAATACAATATAATATTGGTATTTCGTGTACAAATGAGAATCAATGTGTGAGATTATTTTTTTAATGTATGTAATGATATCGGCGGGTGTGATAAAAGAATTTGTTTAAAGACTACATTTTTTATGTAGTCACCATCTTCTCCTTCCAATTTTCCTTCTTTGGATAAAACTTTTGTTGTAGTCTGTGAAACACCTCTGGATAAAGCCACATATAACTGTCCATGACTGAAAACATGTCGTGGAAGATATATTCCAACATTTGGGATGGTTTGTCCTTGTGACTTATTTATTGTAATTGCAAAACTTAGTCGCACAGGAAACTGCTTTCTACTAAGAACAAAAGGCAACACATCACTGGCCGATGTTTTTATTTTAATTCTGGGCAAGAAAGCTCATCTTTCTGCGTTGTTTCCCGTCAAGATTTCCACATCCAACATATTCATATACAACCCACGACATAATAATTGCGTCCCATTACACAACCCATATCTAGGATCTTGATTTCGCAACAACAACAATGGTGCACCCTTTTTTTATCTTTAGAATATGTGGGGGTAAACTATCTTGTGCAATTGAGTTTAAGAATTCTTGCTGGTATAAATTATTATTATCCCCTTCAACCTTGTCAAATGACAACAAATTATGTACTTCTCATGGAAACTGGTCAATAATTATATCATTCAATTTTTGGACATCATCGTTTGTTAGGGTCAAAATAGCTCTTTTTACCATATAAAGGGCATCCCAACCATTCAATTCTAAATCAGGAAAAATATGTTGTATAAGCACTTGTGTGGAATGTTCACCTTCCCATGAGACTGCAATCTGTGAAGGCAACCTCACCATGTCATCTAGTTTGGTAGGTTCAACACCATCACCAATGCGCATAAGAAATCCTGCAAACTCTTGATCATGCAATGATCGCATATTTTGGCGCAATCGCAAAATTTTGGTATGAGCCCAAATGAGACTGAACAATACACGCATAAATCATTTGTACCTTAGTACCTTTTCTTACAACAGGAAGAACTTGTCGGAAGTCTCCCCCTATGATCATAACTTTTCCTCCAAATGGAGCATTGTTGCTACAAATGTCTTGTAATGATCGATCTAAGGCTTCCAAACAATTTTTGTTTATCATCGGGGGCTTCATCCCAAATTATTGCAGCAGAAACTCTAATGAGATTTGCAAGATCGTTTTGCTTTTGAATACCACAAATAGAACTCAGTTGTATATCGATAGGTATCTGTTGCGGTGGAAATAGGATATCAAACTATTAATTAGTTTGAATCACAATTCTTGATTCACAACCGCTCTTTGATTTATCCGAAGGAAAAGGTCAAAAGAGGGAAAACCTATTTTTGCATCATAAACACAATGCGGGGAGAGACCTAGGTAAGGGGTTGGTTAAATTTAAGGAAGGTACTAGCACCCTAAACTTCTGTAGTACTCTACAAGAACCTTCTGTTTATTGTATGTTTTTTTTTATTTTATTATCTGCTTTATGCATATATACTGAGCTAAGGGATAGAGTGACCTAAATAGACCTAAGGGTTAGTCCTAAGTTTACTCGGCAAGACATCGCATCTTGTGCCTATGTATCCTGGATAGGGAATGGAATCAGAGTAATCGTAGTTCCCCTCGAAAGGGAGGTTAGAAACTTCTTGACTGTGGTCAAGGTTTCAATGGGAAATAAACGTATCTTAAGGACACGCTTACATGGAGTTTTGAAACTCCTATTTCTACGTTGAAATGTTGAATTAAAAATAGGGTTAACTAAATGTTCCACGGCGAGAAACCCTAAAAACAGAGTACGGTGACTCTTTGACCTAAAAGCTAGGGTAAAGGGTATTTTCGTCCACGGCGGGACGCCTAGGCTAATTAGGGTTTTGAAACGGTGAAAGGTTAGGACTATTGACTCGGAGATCAAACGGTTTAGACCTAATTCCTTCGGAGGGTGAAAATTAACGGTAAAATATACACGCAAACAAAATATTATATGGCAGAAATTAAAGTGCGGAAGAGTAAAGGAAGCGGCGCGACGATCACTCGCGTAAATTACAAATCCCAAAAACAAATGAATCGCGACCACGGTCTCGCGTAAATTACATTCATGGAAACAACATACAAATATGATAATGGAATATTTAAATAATGATAACGGAAGTTAAACTCAATCAGCTGGAAAAAAAAAACACGGAGAATGTTAATAGGAATAGACAGAAATAAAGCGGATAATGAGACAGTGAAGAAAAAGATGCACATTTGGAAATTTTATTTATTGCTTTTAATAATTTTGAAAAAAAGATATTGATTTAAGATTAAAAAAAAAAAGAGGAATTAATACTAATTTAAAAAAGTTTTAACTTTAAATTTAAGAAAAAGGTTTTAGTTTTATTAAGAAAAGTTTTTTAGTTTTTATTTTAAAAAGAAGTTTTAATTTATATTTTTTTTAAAAAGATTTAATTTATATTTTTTAAAAGAGAGTTAATTTATATTTTTTTTAAAAAAGAGTTAATTTATAAGCAAAGTTTTTATTTAAAAAAGAAAATGGAGTTATTATATAACAAGCCAAAACAAACACATAATAATATATAAAAAAGTAAAAAACAGAAGTTGGGTCGGGTGGATCACCACTTCCCAACCCGACCGGGGCCCATGATATAAAACAAACAAACAAGGAGAGATTAGGGTTCAGAACCCTAATTCTCCATTCAGCGGCCGCGGCTCACTCTCTCATTTTTCCTCATCTCTCTCAACTCCCGTCCGTTTTCCCTGGAAAAAAACAACAGAACAAGATAATGATGTTGTCGACGGAATACACTCACGTTTCCGTGAAGTCTTTCGCTGCAGGTTTAAGTATTTCTATCGTTTGATCTTCGACGATCTAGCATGGTTGCGGATAATTTTCTGAGGGAGACGGCGACGGTGTTGCTCTTGTGTGCAATTTGCAGCCGATGATGAAGAAGTTCTGAGGCTGAGCGTTGCGATTCACGGTTTATGATTCCGAAAGTTGGCGGTGATTTCCTTCGGTTCGCGGCGCCGTTGAGTTGTTCTTCGATCGATGAGGGATCCGCCGTTTATTCTTCCCTTCTGAACTCGGTTAGAGTTTTTCGTAACCCTTCTTACGGTAATATTTATACCACTTTTTTTCTGTGATTTGTGGGCCGTTTTTCTTATGGATCCGCGGCGGTTTTGTTGCTTGTTACTATGCGAACTTATCGGATTTTTCCGTTGAATCTTGGTTGTTACGGACTTTTTTTACTAATGGTAGCTGTTGAGATTATTTTGCAGATTTAACTGGGCTTTTTCCCGTTGTGATTTTTGCAGATGTTATTCAGATACTTGCTGGATTTCAGTTTCTTCATGAACTGGTTTTTCTGGTTTATCCATGAACTGGTTTGCATATGGTTGTCTGAACTGAAATGGTTTGCATCTGGTTGTCTGAACTGAACTGGTTATTGGGTTCAACTTGCTCTGAACATGATTTGAACAGTTTTGAACGGGCTTTTCAGAAAGAACTGGTTTGTTTGACTTGTCAGTTAGAATTGATTTTTTCGGATGATTGGTGTTAAGGTCCTAACGGGAAAACCGTCTTTCGGAAAAATCCACTTCCCAAACCGGCTTTCGAAATAAGCTCTTTTCGGCAAAATCATTTCTACCCACACTTCTTTTTACTCTCTTTCTCGGCTGTCCCAACAATAAGAACGGATGCTATCGGTTTATAGCCGTGGTCGAGTTTGGAAATGGGAGTTCGGCTGCGGCATCTGTCGTACCCTCCCGACACCCAATGATGTGTAACTGAGGGTGTTCGGACCATCAAATTAATTTTTCCTTTAACAATCTGCTTGCTCTGTTCTTGTTTGTCTATGCAGGTATGAAGAAAAATCGGGCACGAAGGACTAGTCGAGCATGAAGATATTTTAGGGAATTAGGACTTAGGATAAAAATATATATCTTTTATTTGTAATTTATAATAAAAAATATATATGAAAATAATTCAATAATATTCCTTATTCAAATTCAATTCCTCTTTGTAACTTTAAATACAAATATTATGAATGATATTCAATATATTTTCCAATCTAAAATACTTTCCGATTATTCTCTTCATGATTATGAATGATTACTCTCTTCATGATATAACACCACCGGTCACATGCCTTTGAACAAAATCCAACGATTAAAATTAATCCGCTTAATCTTGAATAAGACTTAAATTCACCACATAACTTTGACATGACTAAGTCCCAAAAATTAGTCGAATCAAACTTGTCACTCCAATATGCACTGCTTTCCATAACTGATAAAATTTCCCTATACATTAAGTCGCGCCTGATGATAGAATCAGAATAGGCCCTGAATGGATAAAAATAGAAAGAAAAGCAGAGAAAATCCATTAGCAGCAAAGCATAACTACATTCTGTTCCAACAATCCCATTTGTATTTCCGATAGCTAAATCCAATGTCAAGGACCAACTCGGCCAAAAATTGCCATCAAACAGATCTAATAAATTCAGACTTGAGCCGACGCTTGTATTGCTTTCTTTTTGAGAATTTAATAGCAGGTAGCGGAAGAACAGAGAAAATAAAGGCCTGTTGAACCCCAAATTCCACATGATGAATTCACGTATTGACTTGAACCAAATCGACATTTCGATGTAATCATACCCAATATGACAACATAAATGTCTCAGAAATCCACGGGCGACAGAGTCTCGGCCCACTGATTTAACTAATGTATCTCCACATCCTGATGCCAAAAATTACTGCGGATTTCTGCTTATCTTCAAAAACATAAAGAAATCGGGAACGGAAGCTCTAATTGCTCTATAAAATCCTGACAGTGATTCATTTTTGTGACTTGTTGACAAGCAACGTACAAATGACAATTTTGCCCCTTAACAACCAAAGTGCGCCAGGCGCGGTTCCTGCAAAGCGAAACAAACTACGTAACCTGTTAATAGTGAGCTGATGCAAAAATGAGATGACATGCGACATGAATCAACTGATCTGAGGGTAAAATTTGGGGTATTACAGTATCTTAAATCGAGAGTGTGCAGTTCTACAACCGGGTAACAACGTTGCAGCTATACCAGATGATGCAGTTGCCAAAACAATTTCTCCTCTACTTCTTAAACTTGCCATTAATGCTCTATAAAGGAATGTTTTACCTGTTCCTCCTAGACCATCAACAAAAAATACCCCACTGTGTTTTTGATCAATTACATTCGTAATGGTTTTGAATGCAATCACTTGGTCATTATTTAACTTCGCAACAGATTTAATATCTTCATTGGGGATATCGACCGCTAACTCCTCCTGTATGACACTTGGAATCGAATCTCCTTGTACTGTATTAAGGGGTAAAGGTGAGAGATCATAATCTTCAATATTTTCACCGTGCAGGTTTAAGAGTTCATTCAAGTCCTTCAACAACATATTAGTCAAGGCCGATTCCACAACAGCGTTTGTTGTTTGATAATCCTCTGTCATATGTGTAAAAAACTCATTCCAAAGACTTCTAACATCAGTAGGTTCACAAAATATGAGAATCGTCACGAATAACCTCCTTAAAGCATATGGCATTCAGAGACTCGCCGCTTTAACCAAACAATCATGAATATTATGATCAGTCTCTAGAAATCCTCTATCCTCGGCTGATTTTTTGAATGTACTGAAAGAAGTGCCATTATTTGTAAGAAGATATTCTCAACTGGTTGGACCTCTGACATGAGATAACAGTACTTGCAAGTAAAACTTCTCTCCCTCCGAAGGTGATACCGTATAGATTCTCCCGATAACTTTTCTTAGTGACCGTCTGCGATGCCATTCCTTCTCCCTATTATTCCAACAATAATGCTCTGGAATCTCTCTATACAAATAATTTCTTGCTTCTGGATCTCTTAGGTTTAAAGCAAAGAATTGTGTGAGCATTGTTTTGGAATTGCATTCATTATTTAACAAATCCACAATTCGCTGATGATCATAAAAGCGCACTTGATGGCGGTTCAGCAAGTGGATCTGTAATCTTTCAACAGAAGGATATAATCGGTAAAGAGTGAAGCGAAATATTTTCTATAATGCCTCTGGAGCACAAATCCATCTTGCATTAACATATTGTTGAACTTCATCCATGTATGATCCTTTGTGAACCTCCATAGCCACACGATCAGGGCCCTTGTACACATATTTGTATAGATACTTGATACTTTTAATGCTACTGCAAATCTCTACATTGATGTGGTAGTCGTACTTTAACAGTAACCAAGGGTTATAAGGAACCACCCATCTATTGTCGACAGACCCGCCTCTACCTAACGATATAGGTTCACCAAACCTTCTTCTGTACTCAGGATATGAGTCAGTACCTTGACGTGTTTCATCTAAGAATTGTTTTGGATATCTTTTTTTACAATGTCTGTCTTTCATACATGGGGACTTCCGGTTCATAACGCTGCAAGGTCTGTGGATCATATGTTTTAGAACCGCTTCATGCAAGTGTGGTTCACATTCTAGCTTAGGTATTTATGCTCTTACCACACTATCATACTCTTCTGGGCCACGCAATTTGTCGTTACTTTCTAAGACCAACAACATATGCACATGCGGCAATCCTCGTTTTTGAAATTCAGTGACATACATGTAGCTTTTAACCTTTCCTAAGACTCCTTTATTAATAACAGCATCCTTTAATTGCTCGAATTTCGTTCGAAATATTCTTGTTAGCAAATCTGGACGATCTTGTGGTGTTTGAAAAGGCAAAAGTTCTGATGTTATCTCACTCCAAGAAGGATTGCATGTCATTGTCAGAAAAACGTCTGGTTTACCGCCATGAAGAACAATAGTCATGCCATCTTCATAGCGTTGTGTCATGTCTCGACGACCTCCAATAAATGATGATGGCAATATTGTTCTTTTTCCAATGTTTTCTATGGTGATTCATGAAATGTATTAGTTTTAGAATACATGAAAAATTATCATTATAAGTACAACAACTAACTAATAATCTAAAAATATATATTTATGCTACATTATTTAGTACCTGCATTAGTTTCACTGACATGTAAAGCATCCTGTAAACCTTGGTACACTTCAGCACGTATATCACGTTGGTGCTCTCTAATCCACCTTAACCTCCCTGATTCAATTTTGACATAATTGTCTACAACATTGATTGATCATTTGAGTGAATCTACAATTGATTGAAAAACATGTCGGCGTTAAAAGTGATGTGTTTTAAACTACGTTTATCTAAGTATACTATTTACTAAAATTAATCTAAATTTACCTGAAGCATGTAACTGTAATATGCTCGACATGACAATCTTCTTCCATTATAATTTGTTGTGTTAACGTCCCAACCATGTGTCCCAAATGGAAACAATATAGGATACTGCAGTTGGAAGATTATATTGATAGTGATTACTTGGACGCTCTTTAAGTATGAAGCTACATTCACCGATATTTAGAAGTTGTGACAATTGTCTAAACCTAATTACAAAAGGATTAAACTAATGGAGCATTTTTTGTAATTCTTGAACTAAATTTTGGTGGAGTTGAGGATTTTCCTACATTCTATTATGTAGATCATTATCTGTATTGTAGATGTAATGTTGTAAGAAACGCGGTCTGGCACCCTTATTTGGATAGAAACCTCCTATGTTATGGTAAAAAGCACCTTGAGCATGAAATGTATATATACCACGACCAGATGCAAGAATATTCTCATCAACGTGAACACCAATTGAAGTGAATGAGAGCACATGGTTGTAACTTTGAATATGTTGCCTAAAATGCCTTCCTTCTACTGAACCATCCAAAAATAATTGTTGCAATTCTATATGAGCATTAACTCGTGAAAATGATACATTTCCACCAGTACAACACGTATCACATGATTCACGATGAAACAATTTTGGATTGCAATATCTACAGGAAATTGGATTAGGCAACTGGGATTTTGCCATCATCGAATTATTTTAGAAATTTCGATCAATATTGTGTCTTGCTCGAAAAGCGTGTCGTGATTTTACAGGAAGGAGTTTGATATTGATTACTAAATATTATTTAAAATCTAAAATACAAATAAATAATTAACGCAATATTCCTAAATTAGAAGATTTAACATTGCATAATTTTCAGTTTTATGTCACTTGAGTATAAGCTACATTATTTGGCACAAAAATGTTTATGAACATACCTTGAGGACGACATGATGCACCATCATTTATGGCTTCCATGTTAACATCTGATATTACTGCATCCTCCAAAACTTCATCAACATCCATATCGTTGATACAAAAATAATAATTAACATATTTATATCTTATATATATATATATATATATATATATATATATATATATATATATATATATATATATATATATATATATATATATATATATATATATATATATATATATATATATATATATATATATATATATATATATATATATATATATGTGTGTGTGTGTGTGTGTGTGTGTGTGTGTGTGTGTGTGTGTGTGTGTGTGTGTGTGTATATATATATATATATATATATATGTTGGAATTACTGCTCGCATATGTAGAACAATATCTTGTATACCTGTAGCAGAGTGACTATTGTTGATACGTTGGTTAGATGATGTGAAATTATGATCTGCGGGTTTAAATACATAAAATGAGAGATGACAAATAACAATATTATACAAAGTACGATTATAATGTCTATATTGATCATCACCAACCAAGTGCAACATCATTAACATGTGTAATTCTACTTGGGTCGGCTTTATTGTCATGAGTTTCTTGAAAGTGTGATATTGGATATCTCATATTTGTAAAATTTTTAAATGGAACTCTCCTCCGACTGTTCATAGTGCGAGATGTTTGAGCTTGTTTATCTTGCTCTTTTCGCCGCCTATAATTGTTACGTTGTATTGATAAATAATTTTCTCTTTGTTCGAGGTTCATATTTTGTCTCCTCTTCCTTTCATTTTCGGTCCTTCTTGTCCTTTGTTGTTGACTTGATATCTGACGGGTATTATTTTCCATTTTCTTAATGTAACTGCCAAACACATATGCAATTTATAAGCAACATAATTTCACTAATTATGTTGAAAAATATTGGTAAATATAGACGGGATTTAAAATAAATATATTTGTTTTTGGAAAAAAGAAGTTTACACCAAAAAGTATTATTTGTAAAACATATGTTAAAAATATAAATCAAAACTAAAATATAAAAAAGATGAAGAAGAAATGGGCAATCAATAAAAAAAATTTAAATTATGTTGGACAAATAGATGAAAAGATTGCATATTAACTAAACATTAAAATATAAAATGGGGTAAACAATGAAATTAGTGTAACTTAATTATATGAAAAACTACTACTACAAAAAAATATATATGAAAAACTGAGTTAATTTAAGTTATAGATAAAAGATATATTAATTAAAAAAATAATGATAAAAGATAGTGTTATAGTAAAGGGAGTTTAATAGATTTCACAGTGTTCCAATTGCTCCTTGTAGGTTAATAGTAATATTTCTATGTTACTCCAAATTATTTTGTATTTTAGTTAACTCATAATGTTAGTGTATCTATATTAAATACTTCTAAAATGATATTATCTATACGAGAGTTTAAAATATATTCTTGAGCAGTGTAAATGAGTGCACGATAGTCTGTGTTCCATTAGATGACAATTACCAACCATCGCTAATAGGAGTTGTGTATCACCATCAATATTCTATTATACTCACCATCAAAATTAGTTTGTATTATCTATCTTACTTTTTTTTATACTCCTATCTTTATTATGTTCAAAGGGCTAGCAAGAATGAAGTTATCCAAAAAATGAAGTTGATTGTAACAATTTCAAAGATGAATTAAAATATTCATATAAAGTTTTGTTCAATGTATTCAAACACATCAATATATAATATAAGTTAATATACACATAGACATTATCCTTTGGAGATGGCAAAATAATAATGTTACTTATTTAGTTAAACAATTTTTTTAGTGTGTATATATAGATTTCTATAAAGATATCATTCCATATTTTAGAGAAGACTTAATTTTCTAGAAAAATATTAAGATCAGCTATCACACATCGGGAACCAATTTACTAACATATTTCTGTATGATTTTTGCAAAATAAAGATGAAATATATATATATATATATATATATATATATATATATATATATATATATATATATATATATATATATATATATATATATATATATATATATATATATATATAGATGAAGGAGATATAAATTTTGAAATGTATTAGTTTCATTCATTTATTGCTTTTAACTTTCATTTATAAATAATTGATTTATAATTTTTAATTCCATAATCATATTTGAATTGATATCTATAACATCTCTTCTCCATTTTACAAAAATATTTTTTTTTTTGTAAATCTACATTTGCATTTGTCCCAATAACATCTCTATCCTTTTCGCAAAATTACTCCTTTCTCATTTTTAACGCATCTTTGATTCTTCTCCCCCCTCTCTTTATATGTTATTGTAACTTTATACTTTCTTTCATAATTGCAATTGTATTTTTAAATTCGATTACCATGTCTTGATTTGTGGTTTATGTTTCCTCACCTAGAGTCCTTTCAAATATGTAAAATAGGAAATAACATGTGAGTGACAAATTGTTTCATTGCATGCCTTGATTTTAACTTTTGAATAAAAGAAGTGAATAAGGTCTAGAAGTTAAGAAGACTTATAAAAAGAGGACATAAGAGAGATAGTGTTACAGAATTCGACACAAAATTCATAAATGATTTTTTTGATAAACATGCATAACAAAATTTATAATTTTATTATAGCTTCCATTCCTAACGGCTTCCATGCATGTCTTAAACAAAAGCCACGTTATTGAATTTTATATATGATACAACTGATATTTTTTTATCTTCTGTCTTCCATACGCGTTCAGAGGATTAGGGCGGGGAATTGGGATGTTATGCCTAACAATTATGGGCATTGTGATGTTCTACTTTTATTGCCTCATGTATATCTGGAAAAAAAAATCGCATGTAATTTATTTTAAATTAAAATTATTACACTAATGAGGTTGAAAAACAGTAACAACCAATTACACTAAACTTAAACAAATTATGCTGATACCAAATTAAGGCTAAATGAGAATTATATCTAAGTCTAAATCACAAAGCATATGATATATAGTTTCTGAGATATATAATTAAGGTTATTTATTTATAAATAATTAGGGAATATTTTCCCAAGAGTAAATATACTGAACTATATACTTCAAGCTTAAATATTAGTATATTTTATAAATTACCTAATTTAGTATACCTAAGTACTTCCATCTGCTTTCTATTACGGTAGTCCTGATATATAGGTATACTTAAAATTATGATAATTGACGCAAACCACAAAACATATAATACTACTTCGAACCTTTATGTGTATGATGATGACAGTCTGATACTACAATGAATAATACATGTGGTTATGAATATTGTGTCGGAAATATTTTATGGCATTTTATGAATTTTGTATTTTAATAGAGACTTCAAATAAAATGGAGTAATAATTACGTGTAGTGTCATATTTCGTCAATAATTACACCAAATATATCAAATACTCATTGAAAACTTCCAAACAATTTGGTATAATCTACAAAACATCCCTGTATCATATAATTTCCAATTTATACTGGAAGTGTGCGTCAAAAGTTATGCAATATTCCAATTGTTACGACAATTTCTTAGCAACTATTTCATAGTTACAGTAATTATCAAGTACAAAAAAAACT